ATTCCTCTTCAGCATGTGAAATCAACCTCCATTTCTGTCAGTCATGTGATCTCTGCACCTGAACACAGAGATTAACTATGTCCCTAAGGGTAGAAAGGGCATGGGTGCCCTGCTGGTGTGACCCTGAATGGTCTGAGGCTGCCAATCTGGAGGGCCATGCTACGTCTAGCAGGGCAGCTGCGTTGCATAGTTCCAAGGGAAACTATTCACACCAAAGCCCCCTTGGACCACTGTATGTGGTGGCCGTGGCACAAGGCATTAGAAATGGCAGCATGAGGCTCTAGGAAGAGCACTGCAGTCATGTGATCTCTGCACCTGAACACAGAGATTAACTATGTCCCTAAGGGTAGAAAGGGCATGGGTGCCCTGCTGGTGTGACCCTGAATGGTCTGAGGCTGCCAATCTGGAGGGCCATGCTACGTCTAGCAGGGCAGCTGCGTTGCATAGTTCCAAGGGAAACCATTCACACCAAAGCCCCCTTGGACCACTGTATGTGGTGGCCGTGGCACAAGGCATTAGAAATGGCAGCATGAGGCCCTAGGAAGAGCACTAATCTGGGAAGCAGGTGACCTCAGTCTCATCCTTGTGTTACTTCAGGCCTTGGTTATCCCATCCATAAAAAGGGGATAATAATGTTTTTGAGGGAAGGAACTAAGGAATCTGACCAATGACCCCACAAGATCTCCTATTCTGCCCTGGAAAACATCATTATTTCTACCCATTGGGGCATGGAAGGTTGGCAGAGGGTTCTGCACTTATACTCCTTAGTCAGACAGGGGCGGGTACTGGCACACTTACTCTATCTCAGGCTGAGCCTTTCTGGAAAGCTTCTCTGTGAAAGTCTCAAGTAGAAGCCTGGAGCCCAGGAGTCGTCAGAGAGCATCTAGAGGCTATTACAGAATGGCTCCCATTCAGAGCAACCACTGCCTCCCTCCAGGTACAACAAGCCTCTCTGCCTCTCCTACAGCCTAGCAGACTTCAGCCCTAAATACCAATCGGGATGTACCTCCAAATGCCAGCATGTCTAGAAAACATGCACCAGCCATGGGATGGCCACAGAATAGCTCTCTGGGATCAGCAGACCCTCTGGGCAAGGTAAATCTTGAAGTGGGAGAGCAAGAAGGGGGAGTAGAGGAGAGAGGTGCCCTCTACTTGTGAAAGACTGAACAGAACTTGCTCACATCCCCTATGCCAAGATTTCTCTCTTCTCTTTCAAGGAATCCTGAACCCAAATTGATATCCAAGTAGGACTAGCATCACCTGCCACTGGAGCGTGAAATAGTGGGCAGAGAGCATTGGAGGTGCTTAAGACTTCTGATATCATACAGACCCCTACCAGAAACCAAGTATGCCACCAGCTGATTTCTCTAGGAAGCAAACTCTGAAATGAAAATTCTCATGCAGAGTGTTCTGGAGAGTGTGGAAAGCAGGAATGAGCAGAAAGAGAATTTATGTTCTGATGCAGCTATAGTTCAGGTCTCAGCAATCCCACAGGGAGCTCTAGAACTGGGATAACGCAAATGGGACTGAGGGGCCAGGCTTCTGTACCTCCATCTCAACAAGTCATGGCTTCAGGCTGCTCCTTGAACAGGACCTGACTCTGGGCAAGGCAGCTCTCTTCAGCTGAGGGCAGTTCCCATAGAGGAAACTCAGTTGTTGGCTGCCAACACTCCCCGTAGCTGGGGAAGGAACACTTCATGGGGAAGGAACACTTCAGTCCTGCCTGGGAGGAAAAATCTGGGGAGCGTATCACGGACTCCACATGACCCATCTCTCATACTGTTCATATCCACTTGTTTATAGACTAAGTTCTGGAAAATTCCTCCAAGAATCTGTTGAGCCTCTTTCTCAGGAAACTTGAAAAAGGAAGGTCAGTGAGACAAACTATATCCCTCCCACTCCAACTGCAGCGGTGGGTCTTGTAGCCATAAATGACACTCATCCTGGAACACCCATTCTAGATCTCCCTCCCTTCAGCCAGCACCTCTGCTGTCCAGATGGCTGGCCTTCTGGGCTGACTCAGCCCCTCATCCCAGACGGTTGAGCTCCAGTCAGCATGCTCTTCTCAGGCTCTACTGCTGCTTTTGTCCATTTACCAGAGATGGCTGGCCTTCTGGGCTGACTCAGCCCCTCATCCCAGACGGTTGAGCTCCAGTCAGCACGCTCTTCTCAGGCTCTCCTGCTGCTTTTGTCCATTTACCACCAGTGTTGGCAGAGGGAGCGCCAACAGACATCCAAAGGGGTCACCTAGGTGCAACCATATTCTTACCTGCCCCCAGTGAGTGCCTCGCCTCTTACTGATGATCATGGTCCATTAATCCTGCAAGGCTGCTGGCCCCTCCTCTCCTTGCCTGTGGGTCTCTTGGCATGAAAGTTTAGAGAGATACAGTGCAGCCATAGTTTGAGGTTTAATGAGACTCTCTTCAGAAACCAAGTTGGAAACCTTCTTCCACTGGGAACAAGAACTTCTAAACCCACACAGCCCTGTTTTGCAGGAATAGAAAAGACAAATTCCCCCAAGTGGGAGCGAGGTAACTGGGGTCACTCCTACTTCCACCTTTGATATCTGGGTTCATGAGTTTTACCTATTGGGGATACAGCATTATATATTAGTTGGCTTAGGGTGTATATTGAATCCTAGAAGATAGTGGTCCATCCTTGCAGGATATTCTTTCCAAGCTGTTATCTCAACTGTGCTTTCAGCAGGCCATTCCATTACTCTATCGGGCCAGAAGCTTCTGGGTGATGTAGGTACATGATAGGATCAGTGGGTCCCATGGTCACCTTCCCAGTGTTGCACTCATTTTCTGCAGAGTGTCTCTTGGTCTATAGTGACGTTATGTGGGGTCTCATGCCAATGGGCAAACACTCTACAAGCTCTCAGATAATAGTGCTGGCTTAGGTACTAGGGACAGAAATGGCAAAACTGTACCTGGAAAGAGAGTCTGCTCCAATTAAGATGACTCATTGCCCCTTTCAGGGTAGAGCAGGTGCAATGTAATCAAATGTGTACTTTCCACCCAATAGCTGGTTAGTTTTCTTGATGTGTGATGCCATAGCAGGGGCTCAACACTGGCCTCTGTTA